CTCCTCAGACTGAGGAAGTCTCTCGGATGAGAGACGAAACGTTTCTAAATTTTTTTGTTGATTTGCTTTGTTTTGTTTTTTTGAATGTCCAGAGGACCAGATTTAACTTTTTTAGACATGGAGAATATTGTTTTTCACACAAGTCAGCTGATGGCTCCATATGAGGTCAGAGAAATGCGTGTTTGTTTGTCCTGCAGAGCGGGGCTCGGTCTGTTTACATTCACACTGTACTCGAACCGCGCTGGAGTTCTCTTCTACAGGACCGAGACCTAGGTTTTAGCCCGGGCCAGAGTTCGCCTTTTTGTTCCGTGACAGACTTCGATGGCGCGTTCACACCTCCCTAAACGAACCGGACTTTCTAGGAAAATGAGCTAGAGTTCGATTAAAGCGGACTAAACAGGGCTAGTGTGAATGCACCCTCAGAGTCTTCTCTTGATTCCTGAAATACAGCTGGTGGTTCAGTTTTCTACTGGAATGGTTGAAGTGCAGTCCATGATGTCTTTCTGCATTTATTCATATACCACAGTTGTCTAATTCCAATTTTTTCATTCAACCTTTATTTAGACAGGTTAATCCCATTGAGCCTCGAGGACTCATTTACAAGAGAGTCCTGATTTCTTAACAGAGTGATGACAACAGTGAACAACAACGACAACAATAGACCGTCATAAAATAGGCATATGTATACAAATTTAAGTTTCTTTTTTTTTCTTACAAATCAAAACAATCAAAACAGAATAGCAACCAAAAGGACAATCAAGAGGAATAGTAGCAAAAAAAACAACTAGATTTTAAGACGATTTAGAAAACTAAAAACAGGAACATGTCTGCATTGGTTTTTGCCAGGAACTTAACAGATGTTTAAAGTCATTTGCTCTGATAAACAATGCAACCATCACCTCGTGCTGACCACTGCGGTCATTTTGCTATTTTTCTTTTTTTTTCATAGATTTTTCCTCAAACATTATTTCAAACAAAGAATAGAGAACAACAAACATATAAACAAAACAAAATTAGCCTGGTGTCCTACAGCATCCTAGCTGGCTGTGGCACCTAAAGAAAAAAGTTTTTAAACCAGAGAGAGGGACACTGAAATATTTAAAAGAAAAACACAAACATTATTTTATGTTTTATTTCATTTGACCTTTTAGTTTCTGACCTGGGGCAGCTGTGGCTGAGTGGTTAGGTTTATTTGTCATATGTAGATCAACACAAGACAATGCTGCATTGAAATGCTCAGGACGAGAAGAACCGTCTTGACTCGCCAAGAAACCCCACAACAACAAGAAATATCAAAGCATGCAGCAAAAATACTAAAAACATAATAAAAAAATACTACAGACATACTAAAAAAACATAAAAAAATACTACTAACATACAAACTAAAAAAAAGTACTACAAATACTACTAACATACAAAAAAACCCCATAAAAATACCACTAAAATACTAAAAAAACATACTACAAATACTACTAACATACTAAAAAAAATACTAAAAATACTACTAACATACTTAAAAAAAAACATAAAAAATACTACTAAAATACTGAAAAAAGCATAAAAATACTACAAAAATACTAAAAAAAACCCATTAAAAAATACTACTAACATACTAAATAAAACATACTACAAATACTACTAACATACTAAAAAAATACTAAAATACTACTAACATACTAAAAAAAACCCATAAAAATACTACTAAAATACTGAGAAAAGCATAAAAAATAGTACTATAATACTAAAATAATAAAAAAACTAATACAATATTAAAAAAAACATTCTAAATACTACTACAATACAACCCCCACCCCCCCAAAAATTACTACTAACATACTAAAAAAACATAAATACTACGAACATACTAAAAAAAACATAAAAAAATACTGCTAACATACAAAAAAACCCCAAAACTAAAATACTAAAAAACATACTAAAAAATACTACAACAATTAAAAAAGTATTAAAATTGCTACTAAAATACTAAAAATCAAGGTGCCAAATGAAAAAGAAATACATCTACAGTGTGATTCGGTTAGCAGAGGTTTTTTCAAACTCATGGTTCTGTTCTGTTAGCGGCGTGGTCTTGTTAGCAGCTTAGCAGGTCCTGTTAGCAGGTCCGGTCCGCAGCTTGATGGTAATAAGGACCGCAGCAGCTGCCCTCACAGGTTTTGAGCAGCCATCCTCCAATGGGAGAGTTGGGGGTTCGATTCCACCAGCAGCCAGTCACATGCTGAAGTGTCCCTGGGCAAGACACTGAACCCCTCATTGTCTCTGATGTGTGTCCCATCAGTGTATGAATGTGATCTTAAGCTCTGATTGTATAGATCTAGTAGAGTCCTGTATGAATGGGTAAATGAGGCACAGATTGTTGCAAAGAGTTTTGAGTACCTTGATAAGATAGAAAGGTGGTATAAAAGTACAGTCCATTTACCATTTATCATTTATCATAGTTTTTCCTTTCTGCAACCATGCTGTTCAATTTGAAGCGGTCATGTGGCTCAGTAGATGGCACTGTCGCTCTGCCGCCACTCGTTCTCTGCTGCAGCTTCCAGTACTAAAAAGCAGTGCAGGTAATAAAAGCACAGCCACATGTTTAATAGGCCAGAGCTGCATGCTGATTGTAAATGTGTTCTGATTTCCAACCTGCCCTGACAATTGACCCTCAAATTACAAAGGAAGCCCCGGTAATGTCCTCAGACTGAGGCAGCATCGACTCATTTGTGTGGAAGCGTGTTCGACTTTGTTATGCAAAGCGACGCAGCTTGTGAACTGATTACAGCGGCACGCTCCTGTTTGATTTGTAATGAGGAAAACAAGACTGACATGTGGGAAGCCCAAAGGGGTGTTGTTTTTGTAAGAGTCCTGCAGGTAAATTTAGGAATTCAATGACCACAGCTAAAACATTTTATTAACTCTATGACGGCTTCGCCTCGCACAGACCCGTCACATCCACATGTGGGAGCGTCCAGAGAAACTCAATAATCCTTCTGCTGGGAATCTCTTAAATGTTCAACCAAATAAAACTCAGGATTATTGGTTTCTGAACATGTAATAAAAAACTATTGTTTTATTGGATATTCCTGTAACTTTCTTCTCTTATGTGGACGGTGTTTTGTATTAGCTGCAGGATCAGAGATCACTCAGAGGGGAGAGCACCGAGATAAATCATAAAATCAAGGAAATCTCTTTCTGTGAGAAAATTCCATTAAGTGTAGCTCACCCGCAGCCCGTTTTATTAGTCTCGTGGAAGATTGAAGCCACATGATGTCACAAGCATAACTACAGTTTGATGTTATCTTTGATTCCCACCTGGTAGAGCCATTGTCCTGACACTAAAGCGCTCGCTCTGTCCCAACTCTGCTTTCTGTTATTTCTCGTGATTATTTGCTCGTCTTGCTGAACCTCAACTGCTTCACATCTAATCACACGCTTCGTCTGCATCACGCTCCCTCAGCGTGCGAGAGCTCTGAAGTGGTGCGGCTGCAGAACCTTCACAGAAGAAGGAACGTGCTCGCAGCTTACTGCAAACTTGTCGTGCGCGGAGTGCTGGAAATGAGTGCGGCGGCGGACGTCTACATGCACTACATGAAGGTAACGTTTAGTTCCATTAAATAAAAAAAGTTTTGTTGTTTGTTTTCGTGCAGTAAGGTTTTTGTAAGTCATTTTTACATCCTCGTTGTTTCAAAAATGACTCAAATGAATGTCTCACGTAATCACAACTCAGTAAAACAAATTGTCCTGATATAAAATCAAAATGTTCTTTCCAGTTGTGTCAAACGTGCTCTGTCTCACCACAAAACCAATGTTTTAAAATATATATATTTTTCCATTTAACTGGCTTTTTTATTACTAAAGCTGTTTTTCTCCTAGAATTCTAAAAACTACGACTTGTACTATAATTATTATTAACAACAACAATATGTTGCTAATAAAAATACTTAATTTCTGTCCACTAGATTTGAGCTTTAAGGTTTTATCCCAGCAGCCTTTAAATTAATTATCTTTTAAAAACAGCTAAAAACAACAGTGAGCCTTTATTTTTTGCTTTACTGTGAAGTTTTCCCTCTAAATGCCTTCACAGGGACATTTTATATTTTACAGATTAATTTTGTTAGAGTAAAATAATGTGATAAAAAATGTACTGGGGTAGTTGCTGCTGTTAGCGGAGACACAACAACATTAGAAAGCAGCTGAGCCCGTCTTGTTTGCCTTCACAGTGATGGTTTGTTTCATAATGTCATTTGGCTAGAAAACTGTCATATTTGTTCAGCTGTATGTTGTGTGTTTGTGTTTTACATAAAAAATAAACACATCCAACTTTGGCATATTTGCTTAAACTGAGCTAAAATGTCATTCATCTGCAGAAACAAATTAAAAATTGTTTATTTTTATAATGTGGATTCTCCAAACTAGTTGCAAACTGTATTTATTAGATTTAAAGTCGTCATTTAATCATGCGTTTTCTGCTAAAACCTGTTTAATGGCAATCTTTGTCCACACACAGACCTACAGTGAGTTTGGAGACATCATGAAGGAGACCATGAGCAGGACGAGGCAGGTCAATAAAATGGAGAGCGCTCGTACGCTGGCGCTGTGTCTGCAGCAGGTAAACATCGTTCAACGTTCAGCTTCACGCTCGGATCAGTCTGCACACGTGCTCATGTGTTTCTCTGCTCCCCCCCAGCTGTTTGTGGCACTCAGGCGGGAGCAAGAGAGCAGCAGCAGGGCTCAGCCAGAAGTCCAGACGTTCAGCAGCATCAAGGAGCTGGCCAGGAGGTTCGCCCTCACGTTCGGAGATGTGGTCAAGTTTCGTGAATGTGTCGTCATGATCCACAGGTCGGCAACAGCCGCGTATATTGTTCATGAAGCGTTCACTCTATTGTCAGCCATTTTTCTTCTGTACGTTTTTCAACGCGAGTCTCATCCTGCAGTTTTCAATCTATTTCAACAAATCATAAATCAAAATGTTCAGCTCTTTCAGGACAATCCTGCTATGACTTTTAGTAATGGTGCAACTTTAGCTTTTTGAAATATTTAGCCTTTTCTGCCACTTTTTTCCTCATAGAAAATGAATTGAGCTAATTTTGCATCCTTCATGTCTTTAGATCTGTTTACAACCTTTTACTACTCCTTTCTCTTTTTTTCTGCTTCAGCTTCTTTCAGGTTCCTTGTGCAATTTAAATTTTTTCAGCTACTTTCAGCTGTTTTTCAGTTGTTTTGTTGCCTCTTTCAGAATCTTTCTGCTAACTTCAACATTTTTGTGCTTCAAACTTTTTTCTGCTAATTTCAGCTTGTTATGCTCCTTTCAGCTTAGTTCTGTAAGTTTCAACTTGTTCTACTAGTTCAGCTACTATATAGCTATTTTTCTGCTAATTTAAGCTTTGTCAGCAAATTCCACATTTGTTTTACACATATTTAAAACAATTTCAGACTAATTCAGCAAAAATGTGCTCTCTCCACTTCTTTCTGATAATTTCAGCTTCTTTCTGCCTTTTTAGCTACATTTTTATCTTTTTTTGGTGCTAATTTCAGCTTCTTTCAGATAATTTAAACTTTTTGTGCTTGTTTCTTCTTCTTTCAGCAAACATTCTTTCTTTTTTCTTCTGCTAATTTAAGCTTGTTCTACATTTTCAGCTGTATTTCTTAGTATATTTTAGCTAATTTCAGCTGTTTTCAGATAAATGTTTTTTTTTGTTTTTTTTTTGGTGGTAATTTCTGCTACTTTCAGCCTAATTAACTGATTTATGCTAATTTCAGCTTGTTATGCTCCTTTCAGCTTTATTCTGCTAGTTTTAGCTTCTTCTGCTACAAACCGGATTCCAAAACAGTTGGGACACTAAACAAATTGTGAATAAAAACTGAATGCAATGATG